TGTAGAACTATTTTGAAATCTTTAAATTATCAGAATAGACTTTAAATTTCATTAAAACAATTATCTAAACCTAAATTTGTCTCAAAATAATAGACATATATTTAAGATAATTTTATAAAAATTTTCTTTTATATAAAAAATATTAATCAATATGATTTAATATTTATTATCATTATTATTAATGGATATATAAGACAAGAATTATAGTTGATATACAAAAAATATCCTTTTGAAAAATTCTAAAATAATCGATCACTTGCATTCTTTTTTTTAAACGGATAGTAGAATGTGCAGCAAAGGTGGTCATAAAGAATATTTGTTTATATTTTATTTTTTGTTCTGTTCCGTTCGCTTTCATTTATGCTTCATTAGTTTTATATTTTTTTTGTATGATTTTTATCACTATTTGCGCACTGCAATTATATTACATCAATAATATACATACTTTTGCGAACGTAAATACATCACATGATGTGAAATAAATGTATCGATGTATATGTTGAATCAAAACAAAAATATCCATTTCTACATTGATAAAATACTGAAATAGTTAAATGATTCTACACTACCAATGAACTTTTCTTTTTTATTCAAGTTGATTTCAATCATAACATCATCGTATGATTTTTTTCCTGAAAATATACTGATTTGAGCGAGCATTTATTACTATTAAGCTACAGTATTAGTTTTAGTCGTTTCATTTATTTACTTATATGCTATGCATGATTGATTCTCAATCTTCCCTTAATATTAAAGATACCCAATCAGTTATAATTCATTGACAATTTATGAATTCAGTCAATTATAATCCTACTTTGACTGTATGCCTAAATCGAAAAGTACGTTACGAAAACGATCGACTTCGACTATTTCACAAAAACAGAATCCCGTCTAGATATTTTTTAAATTTTAACATTTAACAAACAGCTCATCCGATATAGTAGTAAACCAAAACAAACGTTCGATCAACTCAATTTATACCTTATCTGAAATAATTTTTAAATGTGTAGATCATAAGTCGCTAAAGTATTATATGAGACAACTATTGCTTTGTATTTATAGTAAAATAGTTAGAGAATGTTCGCTTTTATCTATCCGAAAATAATCATATTGAGGATTTTTATAATGGTAATATATGATAGTTGCTCAAAAGATAGTAAACAAACATCATTCAATTCCAGGCACTGTCCAAATACAATCATCCTTCAAATGCAATCACCCTCTAAATGCAATTATCCTCTAAATGCAATCATCGTCGTCTATTTCGTTAATTTAACAGAACAAATCAATTACTCATATTTCGATTATCTACCTATACTGAATATGAGCAGTGTGCGTTACATATACAAGACAAAAACAAAAATGTGCACTATCGCTTCTATTTTGTTGCTTGCTTGTTTTTTTTCATGACGTAAATCATACAATCATCGCATTCCAAAGGATATTTTATGCATGAATAAATCGTATATGAAAAAAAAAATATAAAAGCCTATACTCTTTACAATATTCGTTAGTTATTTGTTTTTTCATTTATATTTCCAACACATATATTCGATTATTTATCTTCGATTTCTATCGTCGTTGAATATTTTTTCAAGGTAAATACTTCTATACTATTTTTTTCAGTTTATACCACACAAACGATATCATTCATATCGAGAGTTGTTGTCCTATTTATAAGTACTATAATTATATGGATAGCTTTTGAGATTTCTCTGAACGAACAGATTTATCTAAGGACAGTATCTATTATATTTTAAGTATATCAAAATCGAACCACCGTTTTTAGATTTCCTACTTCATCACCCTACTATTATACAAACTCATAGGCAGACCTTATACAAAACACCCAAACCATATCACATAGTATCACAATTGATTATTACCCTAGTTCTGTTTCGATCGTGAGATATTATACAGCACTCTTGGCTAAACTAATGCTTCGTCTGCTGATTTTGTAATGATATACACTGATTTTTTTCGATAAATTGGCGTATTCTCAAAACAAATCCCTTAGCTATGAAACTAAATCCCCCATCATATATTTAGGTGATCAGGGAATCTTAACTCGTAACTGTTTACTGACTTTTCTTGAACAGCGTCGATCTATTTTGAATAGTGAAAGGTTCCTTTGTGCACACTTCGGAATAGTATGTTGGCAGTTGTTTGCTAGGGTTTTGTTTACAATTAGAAACTATCGAGCTGACTTCTCTTCATCACTCAATTTTCATATAGAAATTTATTTAAAATTTCTCTTGATTTCAGAACAACACTTTCAATCGGCTGAACGCTATGGCTTATATAAACTCAACAGGTTCTGGAATGTAAGTTTTGATTGTATCCGATGAATTTTTTCATCTTTTAATAATTATTTAGATTTTCTGTATTT